CTGGGGAATTCTGGGAGTTGAAGTCCTCACGTCTTAAAGTTGTCAAGGTTGAGAAACACTGCTCTGTGCCATAGGAACTTTAGAACAGCTGCCTTACACTAAGCCCACTTAAACCTGGTCTTGCCTAATGCAGGATATTTGGCAGGAGTGTCTCCTTCCCAGCATTCCTCAGAGATTGAACCCAGGGCCTTCTGCATCCAGAACAGGTGTTCAGCCTCAGAATGCCCCACGGATCCTCACCTCTTAAATTCAGCTCTCCAAAGAGTACAGAACCTGCTTTAAACAGACCCCATTAAGAAGTTGATGCAGTGCCAGCTGAGGAATGAGGTTTCGTACATATCTGTCAATAGTTTAGACCTATGTCTACATTCCTTATATATATATATATATTATATATATATATATATTATTTTTACACCGCACTGTGGATAACTGTGCCTGTACATTAACATCACATTAGGATCATCGTCTGACGGTGCAGGAGAAGAATTCCTCAACCTGTCAGCCTCTTTTTCTGCAAGTCTTAAAATAAGAAATCTTGGCCTGCCTGACAGGAATTGAGGCCCTGCTCCAGTTCCCAAATGGAATCACTTAACGGAGGACCTCCCAGGCTTCGCCCGCGCAGACCCTCAGTGGTTGCTCCAAGATGTCAGCAGACAAAATCTGTCGAAGATCACAGGCGAGATCCCTTTCTCAGGCACGTAACGCCTGGAACAAGCGAGGCGCTCGTGTTTTTTTCCCAACCACGCAACGTCAGCCTTGGGAAGCCCCCCTCTTCTGTAGAACAGGGGAGATAGGGTTGCATCTTGGTCAAGACTCAGAAGAACGGCCTTCTGCCACGGTGCCCTCTGGCCGAGGGGTGGAAGCCCTCGGGGAAGGTCCAAAATCAAGCCACCCTTCTCCCCCAGGTGCTCGGCATATCCTGCCAGAGAAGCTGGTTCCCCAGCCCAAGATTCCTTTGGCCCTGTGCCTCCATCACCAGCCCTGAGGTAGACTTTCAAAGCAGTTGTCGCCGTCTGGTCCTCTCTCGTCTGCTCTCCATCGCGCTCCTCCTTGGACGAGCACCCTGGCTTGCAGCCCCTGGGTGCAGCCGAGGGAGGTGGAGACTCTCTTCCTTCTCGTTGGCATTTCGCCCTCCCGCCACTCGGTCACACGCAGCCACATTCCTTGGCTGAGACCTCGTTTACCGTGTAGTACCGATTACCCGCGTCCAAGAACGAGACGTCGTCATCGTAGGACAAGGGCCTACAGCATGGACGGGCTCGCACTTTCTCCTTCCGGATCTTCCGCATGCTTCGGACGTTCTTCAGAGAGATGTCGTAGTTCCGCACAGCTGAATCACAGGTCCCGCTGCAGTAGCGGAAGAGGACCGTCTCGTCCGAATCGTAGCCCAGGCCCAGCTCGCTGATGGTCACCTCCAGCTCCTTGAGGGAGCAGGGCTTATGGCGGGTCTTAGCGCGCTTCATCCGGTTGCCGGCTTTGGCAAAGAGAGGCAGCTCGTGGCCTCCCGAGTTCATGGATTGGCTGTAGCGCTCTATCAGCGTGGAGATCAGTTGGTGGATTTCCCCCTCCGTGTAGCTCTCAAACAAAGTGCTATCTGAAATTAAAAGAGGGACAGGGGTCAGCAGTGGGAGAGAAACCTACTGTACATGCCAAAGAGAGGGCCCTGTGCACTGACGCCTAGAAACGTTAATTAGTGGCCCAATAGGCCCCAGGAAGGAAACGAAAGAACCTTGATGTGATTATCTATAAAGCTGGGACAAGGTTCTTTACCTGTGTGCAGGCTTACCAGTTCTCTGGAGCAGGCACGTGTATCAGTAAACATGCAGTGCATGCATGTACATGTAGCCATTACGGGTAGTCCTTGCTTAATGACTGCCCTGTTTAATGACCGTTCAAAGTTACAATGGCACTGAAAAAGTAACTTTATGACTGGTTCTCGCACTTGCAACTGTCACAGCATCCCCACAGTCACATGATTGAGATATTTACAACCACTGCAGCATCCCGCAGTCACACAATCACCATTTGTGCGCTACACAGCTGGTTTCCAACAAGCAGAGTCAATGGAGAAGCTGGCAGTATAATTGCAAGTCGTGGTCATGTGATGTCTTGCTTAACAACCGCAGGTGATTTGCTTAATGACCACAATGGAAGTGAGGTCACAAGTATGTCATGGTCACATGATGTCTCGCTTAACGACATCACTTAGCGATGGAGTTGCCAGTCCCAATTGTGGTTGTTAAGTGAGTACTACCTGTAGAAATGTGATGCAAACGTGTCTATTCCTAACAAGATAGCTTTTTTCCAGTGTTGGATCATGACACTCATGTATTGCTAAGTATGATGATTTTCAAGAGTGCTATACTTTAAGTTTTACTTGTAGGATGCTGTGAGGGGAAGCTATTTAGGAACATCATACCCAAGGATTTCTCTCTCCTGATTCTGAAACTGACTAAAAATGTATGCAATTGATGAGAATGAATTCTGGGATAGGATGGCCCTGTGAAATTGACTAGAACAGGGTTTCTCAACCTTGGCAGCCTCAAGCTGTGTGGACTTCAACTCCCAGAATTCCTTAGCCAGCCAGGCTGAGAGACACTGGACTAGAGTGCAGACAAAGCACCAAGGAGAGAATAGGAAGGAGGGGGCAAATTCAGTTCCTCCTGGCCCCAGGAGAATCAAAGAATGGTTGGGTTGGAAGGGATCTTGGAGGTCTTCTAGTCCAACACTGGCAGGAATCATCAGACCACCCCAGAATGGCAGGCAAGGAGCTGAATTAACTGATGGTTTGGGCCTTGGTCAAAATAAACTCGATTTCTGGTACAGGGCATCCTCGTTTAATGACTGCCTTGTTTAGTGACTCTTCGCAGTTACCATGGTAATGAAAAAGTAACTTTGCAACCCATCCTCACATTGACAACTTTTGCAGGTCTATAAAGCAAAGGAAAGCCGAAGTCAGATTGAAAAATTGTGAAGTTTCACTTAGCGACTGCTAACAACCAAATTGCAGATCCCAGTTGTGATTGCTAAATGAGGACTCCTTCATGCAGTCTCAGGGCACTATGGAAATGATTGGTTACATTCGTCAGGCAACTTTTCCCCCCCATTTCCCAGTCTAGCCTTCAGCCCGGGGATTTCCTCAAACTCCCCCATCCAGACCCGATCCTGCTTAGCTTGCAAGCCCAGCCAAGACGGGCTACATCAAATGCACGGGAGCAGAGGAATGGAGGGTCAAACTTGGGCTAGCTTGCACAACTGAACTCAAAACACAAATAGGAACACAGCAGCAAGCAGCACGTACAACTGTTGATCAGCAAACATGTGCATGTCTCAGTTCTCAATTGCAAGAGATGTGTCTCCCACTCATGCCCTGGTGCCCCACTTCGTCTCGTATTTGCTTTCCGAGCAGCAACTGCATTTTGGACAATTAACGCTTCTCTGGTGCAGAGCAGGTCCTGCTGAAATCATTGTGGAACGCTAAAACACAGCCAAACATTCCATTTCCGTGCGTTTTTGTAGGGATTTGCACAAGGAGGCTCCAATCCCACTTTAAGCGAAACACCAGCAGTCTGCTCCAACATCAGGCCTCCTACGTCTGCACTGAGAGGCGAGAGTTTGGCAGGAGGGCCCCCAAGCCCTCCTGCGCATGCCAGGCCTGGGTGCCTTTTTGTGCCAGAAAAGAGAGGCTTGGCCCCCACTTTGGTGCCAGGAGAAGGACCAGCGTGGAAGCTGTCGCCGCCTCCTGCAGACCTGTTCTATGGACATTCTTCCAAGATCGATCTCACAGGTTTCATTAAGGCTCATTCCCAGAGCTGCAGCCACAAACTCCCCACAGTCCTTTCTTTGCCTGGGCTTCATGCCACCCCATGCCACCTGACATGCCTTTTACCATCTCAAGGCTCTGCAGGGGATGGAATTTGTTTCTTCATCCGTCCTGCAAGTCATCTGCAGCACCCCTGAAGTAAGTCCAGCAAAGTCATAAAGGGAGTCAGACCTTCCCTCACAATCTGAGAGCTTTTTCTCCGGGCCCAGTCCAGGGAGAAAAAAACAAGATCCACGGACCATTTCTTGCCAGTCATTTGCTGGAGTCAATTTTGGGGAGGAGCCCAAAATACAGATGCAAACATCCAGGTCCTCTTCATCCCATTTCTCCCCTAGGAGGTACAGAGGGCCGAATCTGTGCAATGGTTTTGCTCTTTGAGGTCCATAAATTCTGCTGATATTCTGCAAATGACCCCCTAAGATAGACTGCTGCAACATATGGGGATTCATAATAAGCACAGATGAGCTTTTGACTAATCCCATTTTAAAGGCCAGCAGAGCCGGTGCCGTGAAGACATTTGTGACTGTGAAATCCAGGACAGGAAGGATCTTTGCCAGGATCTGTTGACTCAAAGGCAGACATCCCCTCAGACTAAGTTCCCATGAAATCAGCTAATGTGGGTAATGTCTATCAGTAAAACCTTTCTACCCATGATACACATCCTGTCCTGTTCCCAACAGTGGCCAGCCATACGTGTCCAGGAAGCGTGTTAAAGAAATGTCTGTTCTGCTGCACTTACTGGCATTTCAGAGGCGCTTCATAATCCTTAAAAGGTTGATTTAATTACCTACACAAATCCAACCTAATCAGCTGCCTTTCATACAAGTCTCATTCATATGCAAGCATACAATTAAATCCAAATAAAGCCTACCACATCAGCGGAAAAATGCCAAATGTATCCCAGCTTAGGAGAAGCCTTTGTTTTCTGCTCAAACAGCCGCAATTCCAGTTGATCCTTTGTTCCCACTGACTCAGGAGGCAGGATCTGGATTTAATTGTAAAGGGTTATATGGATTACCCTTCTGCAAAATGCAGTTGATTGGACTAGATTTGGGCCTTTCCTCACAGCAACCTTTGTGAGATTAACTGATTATCTCTTTTTTCGAAGTCCGTTTCCTTCTGAGAGAAGCCGCTTCTGAAATGCCCGGCTTTAGGAGGGATCTTTAGAAAATCAGCTGGAATTTCAGGGAACTGCTAACCCTTGTAGACTTGCGGTGATCACACAGTTGTAGCAGGTAGCGCGCCCTTGTGCAATGATGGCCAGCGTTGGTGTGAGAAGGTCAAAATCGCATGAACGTTTGGCACGCTAAATCTCAAAAGGTTTGGTCAACTCAAGTGTTTTAAAACGTGGGGGTTCTACAGAGAAGATCTAGGAGCATCAGAGACGTCTTGGCAGGTAGGGACGTGGGTAGCGGCGTTCATGTGTGCACCCGTGCCGTTAGCGGGATCCGGAGGCCGGGAAAGGCTGATGCTGGCCGACGGTCTGAGCCAGGGCAGTAGCCTGGGCACAACCGGCAACCAAGAGTGGAAGATCAGCTTGAGGTCGGGCCCCCCGCAGCCCCTCGGAGCGGGAAGAAACCCTGCAGAGGAGACGTCCCCCATTCCTGCGCGCCAGAGGAAGAAGGGGGAACGGATGCAAATGGCTTACACTGGGAGATCAGCGACCTGCGGCGTCCCAGCTCCCGCGGACGTCTTCTTGGCCCCTGGGCCAGCGAGGGAGAGGCGGCGGCGGTGGTGGCGGCAGTTCTGGAGAACAGCGACAAAGGGAAGGCAGCGGATCTGAGGCCCCGGCTGAGCAGGTCTCTACAAACCAAAACCGAGAGCATGGAGCCAAAGACCATGGTGCCTATGGCTGCGAGCTTCCATACCTTCATCTTAGACCAGCTCAGGGCATTGGAAATCTGGAAGAGAGTCAAAAGCAACAGGCTTAATTCCACCGCCCGGCCCGGAGGATGCCACGCCTGGAAACCCAAGGGGGGGGCGCTGCACCCGGGCTCGCCTTCCTCTCCCCCCTCAGCCGAATGCCAACTCACCAAGAGCCTGGGAGTGAGCCCGCCAGCCTCGCCTGCAGAAAGCGGCCCCACCTGTGCCCAACACCACCCCCTGCTTGCTTCCAGCCTTCGAGGGAGAGCCCGTTTTCCTGGGCTGCGCGCCTCTGAAGTTTGGATTCTGCCTTTAGCAACACCGACGCGCTCCATCCCATCTAACTGCTGAAAGCTACCCAGGAAAGACTTTTGCCAGGGTTATACGTGTGTGTGTGTGTGTGTGTGTGTGTGAGGAAGGGGGGATCAAAAAAGTCACGACACCTGCAAAAAGGATGGGACTTCAACCACCCAGTTGCAGTTGCCATCTTGACGTTTTTGACTTGCCCCTGCAGACGCTTCTGCACATTCCGATAAATGCAAATACAAGAAAAAATATTAAACGACTTGGCTTTTATGTATGCTGACCTCCGACCTTGTACAGACTAAACCTGAAAATCCTCCACTGCCATGTTTCTCAACCTGGGCAACTTGAAGATGGATGGACTTCCACTCCCAGAATTCCCCAGCCAGCTGTACCTCTATTGGCTTATCAATACGAATTGGATGATGGCCTTCATTGGGAATTACCCCAAATTTTGGAATGCATTCATTTGTTAACGCGACTGATTGAGAGGTCCGTTCTGTCCAAATGGAACGATGGCCTCTCGCCCAGGAAAGACAAGGGGTCCTGCAAATGTTGTATCTGAGCTGGCGTATTATTTAATTCCTGCAATAATATAATTATTTTACTCGGTTTTTATGCGTGGCTTTCTGTGACGGTTCTGTATGCTACTATTTTGGGGGATTCTCAGGACAGTATTGAGGGTGTGTGATTGTGACATTTAGTTGATAAATAAATAAAATATATTATCACAGACATAGCTATCAAGACATCCTTCACTCCATTTTTGTATCAAGTAATTCAGTTTGATTTTAAGGTCTCCCTGACCTGGTTCTTGGCTTCTATAATGTGAGTGCCATGACCCTTGGTCGGGGAGGGGTAGGGGCCTAAAAATACCGTTTAAAAGAAGTTCAGCCTTCTATCATATAATATTTTCCCACCCTGACTGATGAATTTTGTATCAACCTATCCTGACGTACATCTTTTTGTATGCACTGTTAATATTTCCCTGTTTTGTAAGTGATTTTCCTTAATATCATGTGTTGTTAAGGTCTGCAGGAAAAGTTATACATGTTTCTGCACTGCTCAGAGTCGCCGGGAGTCGGGCAGCATATGAATTCAACAGATTATTATCATCATTCTTATTCACAGAATTTTATAGCTTCCTTGTACCGACTCTTCCCACCAAATATGCACTTTTCCCACCATATAGGCAGTTCTGAATTTCCCCGGTAGATGCATTTTTTCCCATTTCAAACTCGAGCATAAAATTCAGGGGAGTATTAATTCTGGTGTAACATGGGCTGCCTGGGAAAGTCTGAAACAGTTGTACGGAAATGAAAGCTGGGCTCTGTCATCGTGAGGGAAGAGACGGGGGCCGTCTTAATGATAAATTAAAAGCAAAACCCCACGCCCCTGTCTGAGCAGTTTCAGTCCAGGAACCATTCTCCCTGGTGCATCACGAGCTCCCTCTGGGCTTCTGGCAAACGCTGCGGCATATCCTGAGATTCATTTTGCAGCTCTGCCCTGGCAGAGCTCGTCTCCCTTGGCCGTGCGCAAAGAACATCAGTCCACCTGAGATGCCCCAGGAAGCGAACTTGGGAAGCCGAGAGCCAAAACTACGCTCTGCTCTGGGCGCCCCCAGTCGTGCACCCTGGCACGCAGCCGGCATGGTGGCTCGTCTGCCCCCCCTGCCCAAAACGCCCCCAAAGCAAAAAAACACCATCCTTTTCATCCTTTACAACAGAAGGGTAGAAAACAGCCCTGGGGGCGGTGGGGGGCAGAGGAAACAAGCCTCGGCCCACACAGGCTTTTCGTGCAGAGCTGCTCTCGGTGGGTCCCGCTGTGCCTTCCGCAGGAGGTCCTGCGTCCACCTCTCCCCTCTCCGAGGACGGCTGGAAAAACGGCCTTCGCTCGGCACGGCCTAAACGGAGTCGGCCACTCTCCCCTTGGCTGGCCTTGAAGCACCGTGGCCCCCATCCCAGGGGTCCCCAGAAACCGGTTCTTTGGGGCCCCTTTAGCTTTCAACAGCTCCATCTCTGGAGATGGGGGTCAGTCAGCGGGACCTCAAGGACCCCCTGAAGCGCCCTCAAAACTCGAGGTCGGCTTAAGCAGCTGCATTCGGTCCCTTGGAATGAGCCTCTGTTTGGCCCTCGGTAGGAACGGGCTCTTCCCAACACCTCACCCCTCGACGGTTCTGCACATTTCTGAAGGGGGAACGAGAGTTCTAGGAAACGTTCTGGACTTTCGATTCTCCGCATCGCCCCTCTGCCCAAATAATGCCATGGGGGCATAACACAATCCAAATCCTGGGGAGGGGGGTTGCCCTGAGGGGCTCCGGTCTCTTTTTACACCAAGGTGTAGCAGCCCAGACTCACAACCGTAAAACCCAGCGAAACAGAGATTGTACCAGCTGTGTGTATCCTGGTGGCAGGACGCCTTTTTGGTAGTTTTATTTACAACAAGGGTGTGAAATCCTGGCTGGGCTGGACTTTTTGCTTTACAACGGGTTTCTCAACCTTGGCCCCTTTAAGGCAGGTGGAGTTGAACACCCATAATGCCCCAGCCAG